CCTTCCTTCTACCGGGAAAGGCTGTTTCCTTCTGAGCAATGCACTCTGTGTTGTTATCGCTTCTGCTGCTGCAAGAACTTTCTGAAGATAGTAAGCGATTTATCACTAAGCACTTTTTAAAAAATTCAAGAAAGAGGGTAGGAGTGCGGTGGCCATGGCACTCCAAAGCGTGGCTCAATCTCGAAGTAAAAAAAAATGTCCGCAATGTTCATGCCTGCCAAAATGATAAGGACTGGTGCAATACAGGGATCCGATCATGTTAAAAAGGCCGTGCTGGCAAGGTGCGGGATGGCCAAATGAATTGATGTTACCTGTGTGTCATATGAGCCGAAATTTATACATTTAAATGATGATTTAAATAATGGCAGAAGTGTTATATTGTGTGACTGCACCTTCTGATGGTATTCCTGATGGTATTTCTGGGGTGTAAGATTGACTGATCCATAGATCCAGGCAAAGCATAAGAAAGGGGTTTTGAACATGGCGGCTCATTTTGCGACATTGGATCTCGTTGGAAACCCGATCTACTAGCTTTTGGACCTAGTTTTACACAGACTTAACTTCTCGCTGTAGGAACAAACTTTACTTGCCTGTACCCCAAACCCGCTTTCTCGGAAGGGGAAATGATAAATGGGTCATCTCTCTGCTCACTAGCTAAGCCAGGAAAAGCGACTCGATTTGGGGCGATAGGCCAGAATTCACATTCCCCACAAGTCTCGGAGGGCCGGATGACGTCCGAGGCTCCCCGGCCGAAGCGCCAAAGAGCCGACTGGCCCTTTTCCACCTGGCTTTCCCCCCAGGAAGTCAGATTTTTCCGTTCCAGAAGGGCAAGGGAGATGCAGAGTTGATTTGAGGAGTGAGCTAGCCTTCGACGCCTTGCACTTTGCTTCCCCCACACCTTTTTCCTTAGAGAAAGTGAGCCATATACCTGTAGAAAACCAGGTGGAATACAAAGGTAACTTTGGTCACTTCGTATGACTTAAGCCCCACTGCTTTTTCAAATGCACTCCCCTCCCCATTTTAATTGCAGTTGGGCTTCCTCTGTGGTCAGCCGGGCAAGAAAGCTGGTCTGGTGGCTGGCTGGACAGCAGCAGCAGCTGCTCCCATCCTGCCGTGTGAAACGTGGGTTAAAACAGGATATGTGTTTTAAGCCGTTTGGTTCCAATTTTCAGAAAAAACCCGTGGTAACAACCTTCCTGCAGGGTTGCTGTAAAGATGCAGCTCCTGCCAGGGAGTGGAACCAGCTTCCTTGCTGATGCACCGTCAGGAATTTGCCCCAGCTGGCATTTCGCTCATCGACCTTACAGATCTGAAAACGAGCATGGTGAGCAGTCTTGACTTGTTTTAACTGCTGCACCACAAGGCGAGTTGAGTGTGGCGTGTAATGGTCAATAAGTGGTCAAGAGTTGGGTTGTTGTTTTTTTGGCAGGCTAGGCTCACTGGATCAGCCCTGCCACGTCCACCACGGATTTTCCTTCATACGTATCAATGGCTGTGAATGCACGAACGGGGAGATACATCCACTGATCACGAAGGTGCAATAGGGAGAACTGATTTTCCTCTGCAAGTGCAAGGTGTTTCTCCCTTGGTCATGTTTCTTTTTGCCTATCTGGTTGGTTAAGACCACTCATCCACTGAGCATGATTTTCCTCTGCAACTGCATGGTGTTTCTCCCTTGGTCATGTTTCTTTCTTCGCCACTGGCCTCTTCCCAGGCACTGAATAAAAACACGGGCCTCCGTGCGCCTTTGCTGGGGGAGATCCGGTGGGCAGGGGGGGAACGGGTTAGGGTCTTGCCAGCGGTTTCCTCCCTAGACATGGCAACCATCCTCCTAATGCCAGCTTCTCTGTCCCCCTTTTCCAGCGCTCTCCAACAGGGGCACCCTGGTGCTGGAGGCCGCCATGAAGAACGCCCTGCTGGCCACAGAGGCGGCCGTCTCGGAGCACAGGCGGAGGCTGCAGCAGTGCGAGGCGTGCACGCTCTGCCTTTTTGGAGACTGTGGAAACTGGACCCAGGAATGCTCCCGTAAGTTCCCACCCACCGAAAACTGCCCCTGCTGGGGGCCCGTGCAAAGTGTTCCCAGTCCCAGAGGTGGGAGGGCAATACTAAGTTCCTTGTCTTTTCCGTGGCGCTCCCGGGCTTTGTGTCATCAAACAGGGGGTGTCATAGAGCCAGGGTTTAACAGGCTCAGAGCCCTTTCTGAGATGCAGTGTATTTGAGCAGGGTTTAGTCTTGAACGGGCAATTAAGAGCCATTCACTCTACAAAAGGGCTGTTTTTGGTGGTTGCTTCCAAGGTGTGGAATTACCACTACCAGGAACGAAAGCCGACATGCACTGCTCGTTTCTGTCATTCCAGTAGCAGGTAACAGGTCTCTGTGTTCAGCCAGGCTTTTGTCCAGTGACTGGCTGTCAGGAAGGGGTGCAATGTGGGAACATTTGTACATTTAACCATTTTCATCTGGTTTCAAATGAGTTTATCCCATTGTTGTTCAACAGGTAAGAAGCTTCCCTGTTTGTAATATTGCAATACAATCCATTTTCAACTGTCCTTGTCTTTTAAAAACTTTGTCGGCCGCCTTGAGTCCTTATATCGGGAGAAAGGCGGAGGACAAACATTAGTTAATTAATTAATTAAATCACACGATCCACCAATCTGGCTGATGCCTTCTGGACCCACTGTCATCTTTGGATCAGTTTCAAGGGAAGCCCCCACAGAGAGAGCATGGCAGAAATAAAAACATAAAGTGAAGGAATGGAGGCTCGCTCTTCATTGCCCTAAAATAGCAACTTTATCAATAAGCGGAAAAGGAGGAATTAACTAGGGAGCTTCCAATTTATTAACAGCAGCAAGATTCATGATACCTAAGTACTGGGAAATACAGTAGAAAACCCTTTCCACTGGATCAGTATCTGTGATTTCACTTATCCAAGGCCTGAAAATGTTGAAAATGTGAAAAGAATATATGTACAATGTTTGCTATTATCCACGGTTTTCGGTATCCACGGGGGCTTGGAAACAATTCCCAGTGGATACAGGGTCCTACGGTAAAGCAATTCAATTGAATGAACGGTATAAAGAAATACAGACTACATATCTATTAATGATAAATTAATGTGTATATTAAAGAAAGGATTGTTTAAAAATGCATATTTTACATATATTTTGGGATAATTTATTGACTGTGTGTTAATAAAGGGGAACACAAGCACACCCTTGCAACAACCGTTACAATTTTGGAAAGGGAAGGGGAATCCAGGAAGCAAAGATAATTTGTCCCGGGGGGGGGCACATGGTCATTGTTGCTTGGAAGTCTTGTGTATAAAGTATGTGCTTTGTGTTTACTTTTTAAAGTTTGAATTGTGCAGTGTAATGTAGGTTCATTAAAAATAAAAGCAAAGCAATACAAAAGCAAAGCGTGCTGTTTGCATATCGCCCCACAGTGTTTAAAGCAATTTCTGGGTGGTTTACACTTGGCTGCCCTCTCTGCCCCCCCCCGGGAGCTGGGTATTGAATTTACTCATCTTGGAAGGATGGAAGGCTGAGTGAACTTTGAGCTGGCTACCAGGCATTGAATCTGGGTTGTGAGCAGAGTTTCAGCGGCAGTACTGCAGTTTAACCTCTGCACCACGAGGCATATATATATTTGTTGTGGAGAGACTGAAGGAGGAGGAAGGCCACCCCCTGCCCTTTTGAAGGAGCCACAGGAGGGTGTCTGTGGAGCTCATTAGCTGTTTGGTCTCCTCTGCCTTCCAGGAAACATGATCTAGACCGGTGGTTTGCAGTCGGTGAGTCTCCAGATGTTCTTGGACTGCAACCCCCAGAAACCATCCCCCCCCCACTGACCCATTGACTCAATGCTTCTGGGAGTTGAAGTCCAAAAAATATTTTGAGGGAACCAATGATCCAGGATCCTTTGATTTTTGCAGTGCAAAACTATGACACACCATAGGAGGTGAAGCGAAGAAGCAAGAAATACTGAAATCTGAAAGGAAGGAAGAGTATCAGGGTCTTAATAATCAAGGATGTGATCCCTATGTGATGGCTGTGCTGTTGCGCACCCAACAGAGCGAAGGAAGGAGAATTTTAATGTGCCTAGAACAACCGGTGGCCTCTTGGGTCCACCAGAAGATCAGCTTCTAGCCATAGAACAATATGATGCAGTTAGCACATTATTAGAAGCAGAGCTGTCTTAAGAGGCAACAAGCATCTGCTTATCTCACTCTGTTGCAAAAATAAGGTTGTTTTTGTTTTGTGTTTGGTCATCAGGAAGTCAACACCGGCTTCCTGCCTGATCACACCCACGTAGGATTTTGAAGCCCTCGCATGCCCGGGAGAACCTGATCATTATGGGAAATAGGAATTCATGTGTGATCTGACCTTCAGCCTTATTTCCCTACCCCTGCTTCTCTCCACAGCCTCGGACGCGCCCCCAGATGCCCTGCCCAGCTGCGAAGCTGTGTTGCGAGCCCAGACAATCCCAGAACAGCCAGCTAGGAACTGGGCCCTTAGCAAAGTCTGCGCTGCTTACCGGCACCTCTGCATGGGCCAGGCACGGGATCCTGACGGTTGCATCCACCTTATGGCCAGTCACTGCCAGCTGCGGCTGCAGGAATGCCGTAAGTGAAGACGTACTAGTGGCGGGCTGAGGAAGGAGACCTCCGGAAAGTTATCTTGGGGGACTAGCCCTTCCAGTAGAGGGATGTGGGTGGCGCTGTGGGTTAAACCACAGAAGCCTCTGTGCTACAAGGTCAGAAGACCAGCCTTCGTAAGATCGAATCCACGCGATTGAGGGAGCTCCCATCGCTTGTCCCAGCTCCTACCAACCTAGCCGTTCGAAAGCATGTAAAAATGTGAGCCGATAAATAAGTACTACCATGGTGGGAGGGTCACGGCGTTCCGTGTCTAGTTACGCTGGCCACGTGACCACGGAAACTGTCTTCGGACAAACGTTGGCTCTACGGCTTGGAGACGGGGATGAGCACCGTGCCCTAGAGTCGGACACGACTGGACTCAAAGGGGAACCTTTACCTTTACCCCTTCCAGAATTCCTCTTCCACAACCCTGCGGCTGGGTTAAGAAGACCTTTAGAGGCTCTGAGCACCGAAAAGATTCTGGTGCCCCCTATGAATTTAACGTGTAATGGGTCCTGCGGCTTGGGGAAAAAATGGTATCATGCACACATTTTGGACATGAAAATCTAATTGTACAGCATGTGGCAAAAAATACTCCCAGCTACGTATTGTATACAGAACAACACAGGCAATCAAGTTACTGGTTTCGAGCCCAATCTTGCTGTTTCACGCTTTGATTGATGCGGACAGATTTTGTCAGAATCTGTAAACTGAAAAGCTCAAACAAGAGCTGAAAACCCCATCGGGAGTGTTTTTAACAGTGGTGGTGATTTCTTTGGCTTGCACCTACTGTATAGGATGAAGGCCATGGGTCTCTAAATGATCAGCAGCTTGTCTTATCCTTAACCCCACCCAACCTCCCAAAATATAGATGTCATACAAAGAAACAAAAACCACATCAAATGATGATGACGGTAATGGATAATTTTACTTAAAATGAATGTTCTCACTAGGCGAGTCTTTAGTGGTTCATACTCAATTACTTTCAATAAGGAGGTGGTTATCTATTATCCACAGTTTTCAGTGTCCACAGGGACTCGGACCCAATCTCTGGTGAATAGGGGAGTCCTATGGTAAAGCATTTAAATTGAATGAATAGTATAAAGAAATATGGACTATAGCTAGTAATGATTGATTGATGTGTAATATTAAAATTTTAAGACGGATTTGGGCACTGAAAAAAAAATCTGTGATGACCCTTTCTCTTGTCGATGCTCTAAGCATGTGCTTATTTTGCTTAATGATTAATCCAGCCCTGTCTGCTGCTGGGCTTGGCATTGAACTGCAACAACAACAACAACAACAACAACAACAACAACAACAACAACAACAACAACAACAACAACAACAACAACAACAACAACAACAACAACTTTTCCAAACTCTGTAAAAGCAGGGCTGGCTGGATTCTTGTACTCTATGTTATGTCTCTCCTTCAAATCAGGATTTACGCATGATGAAAGACAAACTTCCATGGGCGACCAGCAAAAATAAAACTTTTTGGAATCTGCTCTGAGTTGGGGGCGCAAGGTTCAGATGGGACATGAGAATTTAGTAACGTTGCACACAAATTGTGCACAATGACTGGCGTCCTCTTTGGAATGGAAGGCGGTTGCATAAGGGCTCCCCATCCTCTGGCCAGCTCCTGTTTGCATTCCTGGTGTTTGCCCCGGTTGTAAGCTTGGTCACATAACCGTTTGTGCAAATGGTCGCACAATGGGGATGTTGCCAGAATGGAGACCGGGGGAGGGGCTGGAAGAGATCCGTATGCGATCGCCTTCGACTCTAAATAGGTCCTCTGGCCAGCTCCTGTTTGCATTCCTGAGTTGGCCTCGGTTGTAAGCTTGGTCACATAACCTTTTGTGCAAAAAATGGTCGCACAATGGGGATGTTGCCAGAATGGAGACCGGGGGAGGGGCTGGAAGAGATCCGTATGCGATCGCCTTCGACTCTAAATAGGATAGTTATGATCTGATTCTCATGACCACAACACCCTGAAAGGCAGTTTCTCTCTGAGGTTTATAGGCTTTGGACTTGTGCTGCATTTATGGTGCTGCTCATGACAGTCCTTATAGCTGCACCCCTATGGAGACTGGTACTAGCCCTTTCGCCTTGACCAAGAGCAGGTCTTTTGTAAAGCCAATGGGTCTTAATCAAGCACAGAATGCAAGAGTAACCCACCCCAGCATACTCTGCGTAAACAACCTGGAAGGGAAGACGGCAGCTTAGCTCAGAAAAAGGATGAGCAGAATCCGGATAAGGCCCTCATCCTTGGTAATCAGTCCCAGCGCTCAGACCTTGTAAGCCTACGATATGTATCATGTACCCTGCGGGCTGCATGTGCCCCCTCCCAGGGTCCAATTATACCCCATTCTTTGCTTCATAAAGTCCTCTTCTGGCCTCTAAGGGCTAGGGAGCAATTCTGCCATGTTTGAAGCTGACCCAAAGTTAGCCTTGGGCATAACGTTGTCCTCCCATGTTTCTGGGAATGTTTGGGCTGCTTTAAGAAGCATGGAGTTGGAAGGGGGCCTCTGAGGCCATCAGGTCCATTCCCCCCCCCCCGGCTCAAGGCAGGAATCCAAATCCAAGCGGACCCAACAGACGGTTGCTCAGTTTTCTCTTGAAGGCCTCCAGCTTTGGAGTGTTTAGGGTGTGAGAGCTTTTGAAGCAGCCCTTTCCATTTTGTAAGGGAAAAATGGGGAGGATTGGGGTCGCAGGTGTAGCCCTCCAGTTGTGAGCGAGATGGGTATGTATGTGGGTCCTGAATCTCCCCGGGACCCCATGGGACCTACAGAACCTTAGTCTGGGGCTGGATCCTCCCAGCTGACCCTGCAACTGGGCAAAGGAGGGAAAAGATTGTGGTGGCCGCTGGGGCACAGCTCAAGGAGATGGTTTCACAGAGGACCTTTAGTGCCACCAGAGAATCGCCCTCGCAGGTTTCTCGAGTCGCCCCAGGCGAGGTGCTTGCCACTGGAGGACCCACACTAACCTCCCCTTCCTTCTCCTCCCGCAGGCCTGGAGAGCGACATGGACTATTTGAATACGGTTGCCGACCAGTCCCTTCCAGGTGAGACGGCAAATCCTCAGCGTGGCCGGCTCGGAAAAACGCCCCTCCTTGCCCAGATGCTGAAATAAGCATCTCTGGCAGAAGAGGAAACCTCTCCCTGGAGGAGGCCCCCCAGCCTGGTTAATCCGCTGCTGTGCGGATGTGCGGCTTCGTGTGCATGACGGTTTCTCTGTCCCCTTTGACAGCCTCAGCACCGCAGGGCTCCGGCCAGGGCTGGTGCCCCCGGCATCTGTTTCCTGCTGTTCTCCGCAAGGGGGAAAGGTCAACCCTGGCCGCTGACGGGGCCACCGGGCCGAGGGCTGCTCTCCGAGGACAAAACACTCACCTTGTTAATTGGGATTAAGCTTGACAGCTCCGTGAGCACAGGAGTGGTGGCCACGGCCTTCTTCTCTCCCTCCTTCCCAAATTCTCAAAGAGCCCCCCCTTCTCTCCTGCTGCCTCTGTTTTTTTGGGAACCAAGGGGCCGATACCCCCCCATCTCCGTTCGGCCGGTCTGGTCTCTCTTGTGTTGAGTTCGGGCCACGGGCAAGAAGCAGACAAAACGTGCCGCAGAGGGTAAAGACGAAATCGGCACTCAGAAGCGTTCCTTTTTTCAGACTACAACCCCCAGAATCCCCGGCCGGCCTGGCTCATTGGCGGATTCTGGGGGTTGTAGTTCTTTTTTTAAAAAAAGGAACGCTGGCAAGCCATGCGCTCCGTAAGCATCGCTGCCATGGGAAGTGGCTCAAAAGCCACACCTGGTTTAGAAAACTGGATGTTCCAAGGCCATAGATGTTGCTGAAGCTCATTTCAAAAGCTGAATGACTTCTCTGGGAGGTTTCCAGGATGTGGCAATTTATATATGCATTTTTGCTGGAGGAAATGAGGAAGCGGGAGGGAAAAGCCACAGAAAAGGGGCTGCACTTGAGGCGCTGATAGGAAGGAACTGCTGTGTTGTTTCAAACCAAGGAACGTGGTCCAAAATGCTTTTTACAATTTTTTTCGTGTGTGCTCTTTGCTAAAGTTGCCAGCTGGCAGGATAGCTCTGGATGGAGAGCCAGAGGTTGGGAGTCTGATTCATCACTCTGTGCCTCCAGAGGAGAAAAAGCCATCCTGGGTAGCCTTGGGCAACCTGCACAGTAGTCCCAGGGCACCCCTAGTGGAAGGTAAGGGTAAAGCTCTTCTGAGTTTTCTCTACCTAGAAAAACCCCAAAAGGGTTGCCATAAGTTGGAATGGAACAAGTGATTGGTTCAAAATTGGGAAAGGAGTACAACAAGGCTGTCCCCCGGCTTATTTAACTTATATACAGAATATATCATGTGGAAGGCTGGACTTGTAATGAGGGTGAAAGAGGAGAGTGCAAAAAACGGTCGGAAACTCAACATCAAAAAAACTAAGATCATGGCCACTGGTCCCATCACCTCCTGGCAAATAGAAGGGGAAGATATGGAGGCAGTGACAGATTTTACTTTCTTGAGCTCCATGATCACTGCAGATGGAGACAGCAGCCACGAAATTAAAAGACGCCTGCTTCTTGGGAGGAAAGCGATGACAAACCTTGACACAGCATCTTAAAAAGCAGAGACATCACCTTGCCAACAAAAGTCCGAATAGTCAAAGCTATGGTTTTTCCTGTCGTGATGTATGGAAGTGAGAGCTGGACCATAAACAAAGCAGACCGCCGAAGAATTGATGCCTTTGGATTGTGGTGCTGGAGGAGGCTCTTGAGAGTCCCCTGGACTGCAAAGAGAACAAAGCTATCAATTCTAAAGGAAATCAACCCTGAGTGCTCACTGGAAGGACAGATCCTGAAGCTGAGGCTCCAATACTTTGGCCATCTCATGAGAAGACCCCTTGAAAAAGACCTTGATGTTAGGAAAGCGTGACGGCAAGAGGAGAAGGGGACGACAGAGGATGAGATGGCTGGACAGTGTCTGTGAAGCTACCAACATGAATTTGACCCAACTCTGGGAGGCAGTGGAAGATAGGCGGGCCCGGCGGACTCTGGTCCATGGGGTCATGAAGAGTCGGACACGACTAAACGAAACGAAGTTGGAATCAACTTGATAGCGCACCATTATGGCCATCCTCATTATTGTTACTGAAGCTACACCCCAGAGACTCAGAATATAAATAAGGACGCTCCTAGTTCAACAGATTGTCTATTAAAATAAACATCTAGCACAATTGCCTAAAACTTTTAGTGGACTTGAGCTCCCTTTTGAACCAATGTCATGTTTCAGCCCAAAGCCTTACTTGCTGAATTGTTAGGTTTCTTATGTCCTGGAAATCTTGTCAGAAAGAATTCTGGCAGCTCTAGGCAATGTCACCCATTTACATTTTGCGATCCAGAACTTGCTGGATACTGAACTTTGGGAACTGTTGGCTTATAACGCTGGTTTGAAAAACAAACAAATCAGCAACAGCCCAGTGTAGAATCATAGAATAATGGGGCTGGGGGGGATCTAGAAGGCCATTGAGTCCAAACCCCCTGCTCAAGGCAAGGACCCAAATCAAAGCAGATCTGACAGAGGGTTCCTCAGTTTTATCTTCAACCCAAATCAAAGCAGATCAGACAGAGGGTTCCTCAGTTTTATCTTCATCACCTCCAGTGTTGGAACGCTCACCGTCTCCCCTCCAGTGTTGGAGCGCTCACCGTCTCCCAAAGCAATTATTTCCATTGTCATACTGCTCTAACAGTTAGGAAGTTTTTCCTGAGATTCAACCGAAATCTGGCTTCTGTTAACTTGAGGCCACGGTTGCGTTTCCTGCACTCTGGGATGATCGAGAACAGATCCTGCCCCTCCTCTGTAGGACTACCTTCCACACCCTTGAAAAGTGTTGTTATACCTCCCCGTAATCTTCTTTGCTCATCCATTCCTCCTTTTTCGGTCCTGTCCTAAACTCCAAAAAGTGAGTTATTTTAGTTTGGAACGGTTGCCTTTCAAGAATTGAACTCTCAGAATCTCGCAGCCAGCGCAGGTATTGGCCATGCCGCCTAGGGGATTTTGAGTTCTGTAGTCCTTTTTTTAAAAAAAACACAAATTCTTGTTGATTCTCGTTTTTATGAAGCCAAAGTCGGGGCAATAAGAGACAGGAGGTTCCCTCGTGGTTGGCCGGAGACTTGATGCACCCCAGGAAGTGGACGAATCTAGAGGCTAATACCCTTTCCGATCCTCTAACATCTCCCCTTTGCTTCCTCCTCCCTCCCAGGGCTGTGTGGGCAGCAGAGGGTTCCGGCCCCCAACGCAACGATGGCCAAAGGGAAGATTGTGGGGGGCAGCCCCTCCTGGCCTGGAGCCTGGCCATGGCTGGTGTCCGTCCGGCTCAACGGGGAGTTGATGTGCGGAGGGGTGCTGGTGGAGGACGCCTGGGTCCTCACGGCTGCCCACTGCTTCGCTGGGTAAGGTCATGCCAAGATGCTTTCTGATCGTGCATGCACATCAATGGTCTGCCATTCCCAACCTCTACCCCATCAAGTCTTCCTTGGTTCACCGAGTCCCTTCGAAAGGGTCTTTGCTGCCCCCTGGTGCCTGGGAGGAACGGTGGGAGTCCCTAGCAGTATGCCACGTTGTATATTTTTTGGACTACACCTGGTCTACTCCTAAAAAAAATCACAAGCTTCCCCCACACACTGGATGACATGACAAGAGTTTCAGCAGTCTTTTACAAAAGAGCTGTATGTGTGTGTGTGTTTGTTTGTTTGATTTCGGAGCAATAAAAGGTATTTTTTCCCCTTTTTAAAACCGCATACATTGTATTTTGCACATACACATGTGCAAGTCTTCTTTTTTAAAATGAATGCTGTTGCAGATGTGTGTTTTTTTTAAAAAAAACACTCTTAGGAGCAAAAAATTCTGGCCATGCTTGACCTCCCCCCCTCCATGGCCAAAATCCAGTCATAAGCACCAACTAGAGTAGGCGCATGGAGTCAAATCCGGCGAATAGAGTTGCATTGCTTATGATTAAGTTATGATTAAGTCATGTATTGTTTTAGTCATGTTAATGTATTGCTTTGGGACGTGGTGGCGCTGTAAGGGATGTGGTGGCGCTGTGAGCTAAACCGCAGAAGCCTTTGTGTGCTGCAGGGTCAGAAGACCAGCAGTCGTAAGATCGAATCCACGCGACGGAGTGAGCGCCCATCGCTTGTCCCAGCTCCCGCTAACCTAGCGGTTCGAAAGCATGCAAATGCGAGTAGATCAATAGGGACCACCTCGGTGGGAAGGTAACAGCGTTCCGTGTCTAAGTCACACTGGCCATGTGACCACAGGAGATTGTCTTCGGACAAAACGCTAGCTCTATGGCTTGGAAATGGGGATAAGCACCGCCCCCTAGAGTCGAACACGACTGGACAACAATTGTCAAGGGGAACCTTTACCTTTACCTTGGTTGTATAGTTGGGTGGCGTTGTTTTTCCCTCCCTTTAAAGTAAAATAATTTTTTAAAATATTAAAACAAATGAATCCATGGAACTTACAGAGGAGCTGAATCACCAAATCCCCACTGATTCAATGGGTCTGGTCTACTTGCAACTTGCTACTGGATTTCGGCCAATATGTTGCAACACCTTTTTTTCACTGAAGATGGGGGGGGGAATCTTACGTATTTGTTGTGTATTTGTTATGTACAGTAGGACCCCAGTATCCATGGGGATCAATTCCAAGTCTCCTGTGGTTGCTGAAAAGCACAGATTATAGCAGACACAATAATAATAAGGAATGTTATACATCGCATGGTCTCTTGCTCCTTCCAGCGGCTAGTCTGGGTAATGACATCATTAGAAATATATATATATTTGGGATTTTTCTTTTAATATTTTTAAAACTTTCAGATAAGTGCATCAGCAGAAACCGATCCTGCGGATAAGAGGGGTCCTATTGTTAGTGTTGACAATTCCAGTGACTGCCCGTGTCAGCTTTTGCTCCACGATAGACCAGGTCGAGAAGGCAAGGCAGAGTAAACTAAGGGCATCAATTGACTGGCCTTTTCCCTTTCTTTCCTCTTGCAGAAGTAAAAATGAGTTGGCCTGGTCTGTGGTGGTGGGCGACTATGACGTGACAAAGCCGGACGAAGGCGAGCGGACGGTGCCGGTCAGCCGAATCCTTTCCCATCCCAAGGTAAGCTGCTGGGGCCTCCTCTTCTCTCCCACCTGATAGTTGGTGATTACTCCCCCACAACTCAAGCGGCTGATGCCACCCTTCGCTCCGATCTTCTCGCTTCTCTTTCCACACACAGTTCAACCCCAAGACTTTCCACAACGATGTGGCTTTACTGGAGCTGAGCAGCCCCGCCACGCCGTCCGCCTGGGTAACTCCCGTGTGCTTGCCGGAGCGACCCACGGAGATGGGCCCAGGGATGCTGTGTTATATCATCGGCTGGGGTTCGCTCTATGAAGGTAAAGGGACAAATGGGGGAAGTATGGAAGTGGTATGGATGTAGGGCACGCAACCATGGGCTCAAGTGAAAGGAAGACAGATTTCGGTTGAATCTCGGGAAAAACTTCTCAACTGTTAGAGCAGTACAACAATAGAACCAATTAACTCAGGAGTGGGTGAGTGCTCCTACACTGGAGGCATTCAAGAGAAACTTAGACAATCACCTGGCAGATATGCTTTGATTTGGATTCCTGCCTTGAGCAGGGGGTTGGACTGGATGGCCTTACAGGCCCCTTCCAGCTTCCCTTTTCTATGATTCTACGATTCCGTTACGAAAGCTAACATGGTGGAATAGTTCCAGGTTCCGCACACCCTTCTCCTGAGACTTGCCAAGGGCTGCACGGTGACCCCCACTCCATGAAAACCAAACCAAACCAGATCACAAGGGAACTGGTGGGGGGGGGGAATCTCCATTTCTGCTTTGGAAAGGAATTTGTATAGCCTTTCAAAAATTTAGTTGCATCAGAAATGTCAACTTCCAGAGATCTGGGGTCTGCAAACAACCAACCCTGAAACGGGGAGGGCTCTACCCCCTTTTGTGATCCCCTCCATTTTTTTCTTTAAATTTGTCCTTACTGAAACAGCCTTCTTGTGCCCTCTAGTGGCATGAAAATTAAAATAAAATACTGTAGGTAAAACTGGGAGGGGGGGGAAGAATGGGCTTCTGATAGAGCCTGAAACATGGCAGAAGTGAACTCTTTGAGAGAATGGGGTGGGGGAGCTGTGGCAGGGCAGAGGTGGCAGGGGACCCCATCAGAGTCTGGCGGGGTGTGTGTGTGTGTGTGTGTGATTCAGAAAGGGTGTTAAATTATCCTCTGCAAGGATTTTTTATTTTAAAATTTGAGTCTTGCACTCTGTTGCTTTTAAAAGTGCTTTTCATATGGATTTTATTTACCGCTTTTAACATGATCCTCTGTTTAGTTCCTTTGAAATACAGTGGACCCTTGACTTACAGACGGCTTGACTTACAGACTTTTTGAGTTACAGACTTCTCTGGCCAGCTTAATTATCCTCTGCAAGGATTTTTTTTTTATTTTAAAATTTGACTCTTGCACTCTGTTGCTTTTAAAAGTGCTTTTCATATGGATTTTATTTACTGCTTTTAACACGATCCTTGTTTAGTTCCTTGGAAATATTTGTATATTTACTCTTTTTTAACATTTAAATATTGTCCTTTTAATGGCGTAAGCTGCCTTGGGTCCTTCTGGGAAGAAACACAGGGCCATATTTTCTGGAAGCTTGCAGGGTGCTATCTCTAAATTACGACGTAAGCTGCCTTGGGTCCTTCTGGGAAGAAACACAGGGCTATATTTTCTGGAAGCTTGCAGGGTGCTATTTCACTCCCCCCCTCCACCCCAGGGAAAAGTAAATCACACGGGGAAGGCTCATAACTTCGAGGAAGAGGCAGAAATGACCTTAGGAATGACTGGAAGGGACCTTGGAGATCTTCTAGTCCAACCCCCTGCCCGAGGCAGGAGACCTCATAATCATCCCTGACAGATGGCTCTCCAATCTTTTCTGGAAAACCTCTAGAGATGGGGCACCCACCCCATCGGGAGGCAAGCTTTAGTTCCACTGCTTTATGGTTCTCTCCGTCAGGAAATCCCTTATTTCCAGGTTGGATCTCCCTCTGATGAGTTCCCACCCATGGGTTCTTCACCTTCCCTCAGGCGCCACGGAGGATCAATCAATGCCCTCTTCTGGGGCATCCCTTCAGATATTGCAAGACGGCGATCACGTCTCCCCTCAGTCTCCTCTTCGTTAAGCTAAACATACCTGGTTCTTTGAGTCGTTCTTCATAGGATTTAGCCTCCAGTCCCCTTAATCATCTTCGTTGCTCTTCTCTGCCCCCCTCCCAGGGCCTCAGCATCCTGAGTAGAGTGTCCCTCCAGTGGGTCATACAGTGCCTCATAGGAACGTCCATTTCAGGGCGGCTCTCTAAATTACCACAACCCCCTGCAGCCATTCCACCTCGGGGACATTGGAAGAAACGAACATGGCGACTCCAAGTTGCCACCCTCGCCAAGATAGCCTCAGAGATTCGACAATGGAGGAGAGACTTACCACAGGACCTTTTTTCTGAGGGACTGCCAACATGGAGCTGGGCCTGAGGAGAGGGGGAGGAAGTGGCTGGGGCTCCTTGTCAGGGCTGAGGCCACCTCCAGACAGACACACCGGTCTGTCCCCAACTTGTTGCAACGGATGGTTTAGGCACAGTGGAGAGAATCATTGGACGCTGGCTGTACGAAGACCCACCTGTAGCATCTTCTGCTCCTTCCACAGATGGGCCTGCAGCGGATGTTGTCATGGAAGCCCGGGTGCCCATCCTGGCCCAAGACATCTGCCAAGGTACCCTGGGATCTCAGCTCTTCACCAATGCCATGTTCTGTGCTGGCTACCTTTCTGGGGGCATCGACTCATGCCAGGTAGGCATCTCTCAGGGTGCAGGCGGAAGGGCATCAGGGCTAGGCATAGAACCCCAAAAACCACAGAGGTGGATGAGACCCAAAGGGTGCTGAGTCCAAACCAGAGATGGGCATGAGTTTAAAAACGAATCGCAAAATTTACCAAAATTTCTAATTCGTTGATTCGTATTCATTCGATGGGATGCCTCCAACAAATACAAATCAATGCATTTTTAGTGATTTTGATTCATTAATTCATTGGGCTATAAAATTGCCGCCCCCAAGTCACCGGAAGACACGGAAATCACAGAGAAGCTTCACGTGACTTTCATCTATAATCCCTCCAAGTTTCGTGAGGATTTGGTGTCCGCCTCTAGCCAGCTACTAAAGGGCACTTTCCGGGGGGGGACCTACTTTGTGGGTGCAACAGATGTCTGAAAGCCTATCTTCACCAAATGTGGTGGGATTGTAGAGGAGAGTCAAGCTTCTGTGTGATTTTGGTGTCTCTAGGTGCCTGGGAGGGGCATCCATGGTTCTCATCATCAGGAAATTTTTAGAGGCAAAGCAAATGGATGAATTGATTCGTCAGGAAAAAAATTTGTGAATTCATTTTTTTGTGATTTGTTGGCTTTGACGAATTATGAGTCAAAACAAATCACAATTTTTCCGATTCGTGCCCATTTCTGGCCCAAATCCCTGCTGAAGTGTAAAATCCAGAGCTTGAGTGTGCTTGACAGATGGCCCATTAAACCTTTATTTAAAAGTTTGCAAAGGGCTCTTAACTCTCTGGAGTCACAGAAAACGCGCTTACTCCACCCTCCATGTGAAAGCCCTTCAGAGATCTGAAGATGGCTACCAAGTCACCTCTTAGTCCTTTTGTCCTCTGACACTCCCTTCCAGTTCTGATTTTGTTTTTGTTTTTTTGTTTTTTTGGGGAGGGAGGATCGATTTGATTCCAGTTCCTGACCTGATTCGTGCAAAAACAAATCAGCACATACTCAAATTTGAATTCCTGCACTGAGCAGGAGGGGGTTGGACTTGATGGCCTTATAGGCCCCTTCCAACTCTATGATTCTATGAACACACAAGCATGTCATAGAATCATAGGATTATAGAATCATGGAAGGGACCTAGAAGACCATCGAGTCCAACCCTCTGCTCAAAGCAGGAATCCAAATCAAAATAGATCAAGATAGACCTGACAGCTGGCTGTTCGATTTCTCTTCAGTGCCTCCAGTGTTGGAGTGCTCTCACGCTTCGCTCATCCAAGACATATATGATGGGGAAACTGCCTCATTTGGGGGCTGTGAAGAAACAGCCTGTAAAGTCCTGCTCAGCGAGAGAGCAATTTTTAGCAAGGTGATGAAAAGGGACTCCAGATCTAAGCTAAGTGAATATTGAAGTGTGATACTGTGGAGAGTTAAGAAAGCAGGAGGAAGAGCAGTCAAAGTTCAAGCCAGAGTCAAGCCACAAATCAAAGCCACCACCTGATTACTGGGTCAGGTTGGCAGGAGAGGCCTAAGAAATGCCAAGAGCCAGGAGACCCACTTCAGGGGCTTGGATATCTAAATCCCAATCTTCTAGTCCAGGGATTTGGACTAGAACTTGGATATGCAAATCCCAATCTTCACCAAACTAGGAGGGACTGTAAAGGAGAGTCAGAGGAATTTTCCCTGCAATTTTGGTGTCTCTAGCTGGCTGGGGGCAGTTTTATAGCAAAATGAATTGATGAATCAAAAATAGCTCAACATTCTCTGATTCGTACAAATACGAATCAATGAATTTGCAATTTGTGAATGAATTTGGTGATTTGTTTGTTTGTTTTAAATTCGGGCCCACCTCCAGTCCTGGATCAAAGCTCAGTGCTCCATCTCTGCTATGCCAGGTTGTCCTGTATCCCCAAATGCCCTCAGTCTTGAAGGCCTGTCCTCCTCAGGCGCTTCTTCCTTCTCTGGAGAGGACCAACCCTCCCTGGAAGATTTCGTGTCTCTTTTCTGCCCAGAGAAGGTTTGCCAGCTGATGCCTTAAGCTCACCTTCTGTCCTAGTCCCTCCAAGCACAACATCTTAATTTTCGTCCTCAGAGGAAGATTCTGCCAGGTGTGGCCTGACACACAGCCCAAGAATGTGGAGTTTCTGTTTTGATTTGTTTAAGCCACACCATCCTTTCTCTCCCCAGTTGTGTGTGCATTTTGGGCATGAGGCGGTAGTGACGGTTTGCATGCCTTAGACCACATGGCTGTGTGCTGCTGAGGCCGCTCCTCTCTGCCCCCAGCCTGCCATTTTGGATTTGGTCCTCTCCCTTCGCTCATAGAATTTCAACAGGCGCTTCTATCTCTTCTCAGGGTGATTCTGGGGGACCGTTGACATGCTGGGACCCTTTGTCTGAGCGTTATGTGCTGCATGGAATCACTTCATGGGGCGACGGCTGTGGAGAGCGTGGAAAGCCTGGTGTATACACCCGTGTGGCGACTTTCACAGACTGGATACAGAAGCAGATGGAGAGTGAGTATTTGGGTAGTGCATTCGCGAAGCTTCCAGCCCCAGATGTCACAGCGTGCAAGAAAAGAAACAGAATGTCAGACCAGAGACGCAAACAAGTCAGGCCTTTATAGACTGAGGGAAGTGAGGGGAGAAATATCCAGGTGGATAAAGGTGGGGTGTGTGAGGAAGAAAGCTGTGTTTTCTGCTTTCAGAACTCAGGGAAACGAATGGGATCAGAAGGCACCGTTGGTTATTTTTTGAATGCTAATAATCACCAATAGGTAAAGGTAAAGGTTCCCCTTGACAATTTGTCCAGTCGTGTCCGACTCTAGGGGGCGATGCTCAACTCCGTATCCAACCCATAGAGCCAGCGTTTGTCCAAAGACAATCTTCTGTGGTCACATGGCCAGTGCGACTAGACATGGAATGCCGTTACCTTCTCACTGAGGTGGTACCTATTTATCTACTTGAATTTTTGCATTTTGCATGCTTTTGAACCGCATTTTAGCAGGAGCTGCAACAAGTGACAGGGGCTCACTCTGTTGAGTGGATTCGATCTTACGACGGCTGGTCTTCTGACCTTTCAGCACAGAGGCTTCTGCGGTTTAACCCGCAGCGCCACCATGTTCCAATTACCAATAGATTCACCTTTAAATTTCTGCAGTCTCTGAATTTTGGGGACCTTAGAGCAAAGCCCCAGATGCCCCACCTTAGTTACAGCCCTGCCCCTGTGTTGAACTTCACTTTTCTTTGAGAGGAAATTAATGCAATGATCTTATATTTTCTGCGCTCTTTGGCATCTCCTTTCTGTGGATGTATGCTGAACATTTCGAGTCTCTGGGCAAATGTTTTGTTTTTCATATTTGTCGTTATATTCTTAAGGTTGTAACAGATTCAGTCATTGTAGCTTCAAAGGACGTAAAGTTTCAAACGATGGTGATGTTGACAGGTTTTTCATCAACTCTGATATTATTTAGTCACACTTTACATTATCATCCATGACTGCTTGTACTGCATCTCATAGTTACAGCCACACAATTTCTTCTGAAATTTTTGTTTCCAGAATAAAAAGCTTTGTGATTATTTGAATGAAAATGCCTAAATTCTAGCCGTTGTAGTTAAATCAAGTATTCAGTGCCTGAATGTTCCATTTCTTGTGTTACCAGTTTGATCTTACTATTCCAGTTCCATGTGTCATACATTGCAGGATCCCTCTTTTGCTTCTGATCATATGAGCAACTAGATGCCCTTTAAGCTTCATTAATGACAGTGCTGTTCACACTTTGCCTTTGGTTTTCCCTGGTAGCTGGCTGAGTGCCTTCTAACCTGGATGTCTCATCTTCCGGCACTATCTCTTGATTTCTTTTGGATTGTTTTGGATTACTTCATCACAGAGTTTCCTATTCTATGCATTACAATCTTTGTGTATTACAGCCTGCATCTGTTACACTATGCATTACATATTTCGGATAGACATATTAATCACACTTATATCCTACTTTTCCTCCAGTGAACTCAAGATAGCGTAGACACTGGGTAGACTGGTTGAAAATCCAGTCGGTGCTCATTCTCCATTCTACCTTGAGTGGGATTTCTTCCCCCTGCTCTTGTCAGAGCACCTGTTTGTTGCCCATTCCCCTTTCTCTCCCACTCCCTCCTGTTTAGGCACCCCTTGTTCCTCTCCTCCTTGCAGAATCGCCGTCCAGCCGGGAGCCCACCTGCTTCGAGTTGCTAGCCTTGGCCCAAATACCGGCAGAAAAGCGTCCCGCGGAATTTGCCCACCTCTGTGCCTTCTACGCCCAGCCCTGTTCGCCGTCGGCTAGCCCGGCCGCTTGTGCCCGTGCCGCCGAGGAAAAGTGCACGACCAGGAAGCAGCAGTGCGGTGAGTGACCGGGATAAGAAGAAACGGCTTACCACAAACATGTCATGAAAAGCTCTTGAGCCAAATTACCACTCGCCTGGTTCTCCTCTGGAGGTCAAACGTTTCTGCAGCAGATCCAAGAGACGGTTTTGAAAGACCGTGCGGCCTTCAGCGGCTCTGGCTGCTGAAAAATAGCACAGACTATATTTACACTTATTCATGAGGAGCAGGTGAGATCGAAGAGCTACCCTTTAACAGCTCAGCCAGGTGTGCCATAATCCCAAGGTGATTCTGGTGGAAAAGTAAAGCTTCTGGTATTCTCGAAGGCTTTCACAGCCAGGGGGTTGTTCTTCCTCTGTTCTTCAGAGGACAGAGTGCTGCCCTCTGAAGATGCCGGCCACAGAGACCGGCAAAACATCAGGAAGAACAACCTTCAGAACACGGCCAAAGAGCCCGAAAACCCCACAACAACCATAAAGCTTCTGGGTCCCTCAGAGCCATGATTCCCAATCTTGAGTAACCCAATTGCTGCAACCTCCAGAAACCCAGGCTGAGCCCGAAAAACCCACAACAACCATAAAGCACCAGCACAGCTGGCGGGTGAAGGCTTCTGGGAGTTGCAGTTCAAGAACATCTGGGTGAACCACTGCCTCAGAGGGTTGGCCTTCCTTCCTTCATGGAAGCAAAGCAATAGGAAATGAATGTTTCCCCAAAATCCTGCATGGCAGATTTTGAGCTTTCCATCTCCCGAGGCATCCTCTGAAGGATGTTCGAGCACTAAACGTCGTTTCTTGTCCATCAGCCTTCCCTTTTGCTACTCTGTTTTGCCAAGAAAATAAAAATAGCCCTTCAGGAGTCAGCGAGACTGGATTCTCAGCATCTTGCTGTGCCTCCTCTATTGTCTTCCCCAGCCGGAGTGCATGAGGCCGATTGTTCCGTGTCTCGGGAGACATTTCTGGCTTAATCGAGGCGATGGGAATGTTTATTATTCCCCGTTTGAAAGGTTTGTCATAGAGAGGAGAGGGTCACATTGGATCAGCATCATTTCTTGGGCTTTGTTGACGAGACTGGGGCCTCAGCTCAGGACAGGCAGAACGTGAGAGAAAACATTTTTATCTCTTGTCATTTGAACCCATGGTTTGGAGCTCTCTGCTCTAGAGTCACAGAAAACAAGCTTGCTCTGTCCTCCCACAGGGCAACCCTTCAGAGATTTGACGTTGGCTATCCTGTCCCCATTCAATCTTTGCGTCTCCACACAAAACCAGCAACTCCCCCCCCCAAACCGTTCTTCACAGGGTTTCCAGACACCTTACTGTCTTGGTCCCCTTCCTCTAGGAAGCTTTTATTTTATTTTATTATTATTATTTAAAATATGTTTACCCAGCCTTGCCCCTTAAACAGGACCCAGGCTGGCTTACATCATCAAAATGCGTTATTTAAAGCTAAAAATAGTAACTATACAAATACGAGGTAAAGGTAAAGTTTCCCCTTGACATTGAGTCCAGTTGTGTCCGACTCAAGGGCGCGCTGCTCTTCCCCATCTCCAAGCCGTAGAGCCAGCGTTTGTCCGAATACAGTTTCCATGGTCATGTGGCCAGCATGACTAGACATGGAATGCTGTGACCTTCCCACCAAGGTGGTCCCTATTTATCTACTCGCATTTATCTACTCGCTTTAGAGCTGCTAGGTTGGCAGGAGCTGGGACAAGCGATGGGAGCTCCCTCCGTTGCATGGATTCGATCTTACAACAGCTGGTCTTCTGACCCTGCAGCACAGAGGCTTCTGCGGTTTAACCCGCAGCGGCACTTCATCCCCCTAATACTAAAATACTTGTTGTTTGTTGTGGTTTAGTTGTTTAGTCGTGTCTGACTCTTTGTGACCCCATGGACCAGAGCACGCCAGGCCCTCCCGTCTTCTAAAATACTAAAAAGGGCCCAATACCACATTTCCACACAATAAACAAAAGACCACTCTGAAAGCAGGCCCAACTGAGTTCCTGCTTGTTCACATCCTTCGTAAACTGAGGTGCCCAGAATGGGACGCCACAGAACCAGAGGGGAAAAGAATGTTCGGTGATCACATTTTCCCATGTAGCTTGGGAGATACACCTCCCCACTGCTTCCTTCTGCTGTACAGTGAGCCTCCCAGACCGGTCGTCACCTTTTTATGGTGGGAAAAATACCTTGCCCCTGCCTGGAACCATTGCACTTCCATGTTGTGAGTAGACTATGTCTAGATGGCCGGCATATAAATGCAATAAATAAATAAATAAATCTCCCAGCTCCTAGTGCAGCTAGACTGGTCAGCAGCTAGGGTTGCCAACTTCCATGACTTTGGTTGAAGTCTTGGGAGAACGGTTTGTTGTGGGTTTTTCGGGCTCTTTGGCCGTGCTCTGAAGGTTGTTCTTCCTAACGTTTTGCCAGTCTCTGTGGCCATGGGCATCTTCAGAGGACAGCACTCTGTGCTCTTGGGAGAATGTCTCTCCAGGCCACCAGGTAGGAAGAGACGTCTCAAGGCACGGACGATGAGGAAGAGAGCTTGTTTTTGGGAGGGACGTGGCTTCAAACTCTGCACACCTTCCTTTGCCCTATCTCAGCTGGCACCCAAGTTCTCTGAGTCACCGCACAGGTATTTTTTCTGTGTTGCCACGGTGTGTTTGTTGCTGTTGTCCATCGTCGGGGTACCAAAAGCCAGGAGTTGAGGGGATGAGAGAAAGAGCCATTGGGCGCATGCCCTTTGGCATGTCCTGTTGTTTTGAGCCAATCAGTGTTGTGACTCGTGACCCTTCTTCTGCCATCAGCCCCGAGACCGGCCACACAGAGCCTGGCAAAGAATAACCGTCCCCGGGGGGTAGGTGGCTGGTGAGCTTCCTGTGACCCCTAACAAGAGAATGGGGTTTTTAAAAAGTCCACTGGTGTCATGGGCCCTGAAGGCAAGGCCATGTGGGATGCAAGCCGTGCCAGTGACGGCGAACCTATGACATGCGTGCCACAGCTGGCACGCAAAGCCCTTTCTTCTGGCACGTGGCAAATCTTTTGAAGTGACTGCAGCTGGTATTCCCCCTTTCTCTTCCTGTTCTGGGTCCTTTACCTTCCTGTCCTTCCCCATGATTCCCCCTTTAACTTCCTGTCCGTCCCCATGATTCCCCCTTTAACTTCCTGTCTGTCCCCATGATTCCCCCTTTAACTTCCTGTCCATCCCCATGGTTCCCCCTGAAACTGCCACTTCCTGTTCCTGTTCTGGTCTTCCGGGTGGCACAGCAGCCACTGGTTTCTTCCCCACCCCCTCATTTTGGGCACTCGAGCCGAAAAAGTTTTGCCTCCACTGACCTATGCCAACGTTGGGCCCACTCACTCAAATTCCTCTTGCTCCCGTTTCTCACATCAGCGTATGCTTCTGCTTCTCTAACCCTGCCTGGCCTCTGAGATATCACAACACCCTCCACCCATCTTTCAGTTTGAGCCCCAAATCTCGAGGAAGAAGATGCCACCCTCTGGAGGACAGATCTGGTTCGGTTTTCTGCCCTTGGCTAAAGTGGTTCACCGAGAGATAAACCTATCCACCTTACTAATGGCTGCAGATCCAATGATTATTTACATCGCAGCTTGGCTCATTCAACAGATGGCGAGCCTCCCGGAGGGTTTTGATGTCCCTCAGCTGTAGCTTTTCTTTGTCGACTTCCACTGGCATCAAACCCTTTGTCATCCCCTCTTCCCTTTCACATCCACCCACACCGCGCGTCTACAATAAAAAATGCAATCATGTAAACCTAGCAGTCAGAAAACAATAATGCCTCCTACAGCATTTACCCTTAAATTTATCATTTCGGCACACGTTTGTTTCATTCTAAAATTCATTAGCTATTTGATTTCCTGCTCAGGATCTTAGATAATAAGTTAATTTGATCACAAAATGTCACATCCCGTGCTTTTCTCTCCAAACTATTCAGCCACATCACAGCCGAATGATTGTGGGTATGTTTTTGCCCCACCCTTTCCATTGGTAAGCTATTTTTGATTTTCCTGCCACCGATCATCTCAGCTCCGTAACAGGTTTTTTGAAAAGTACCTTTTAAATAATTTTAAAATGACCCATTTTTAAAATTGTAATAGATTTCTGGGGTAGGTGGGAAAGGAAGCGCAGACGCTGAAGAGGTAAAAGGGAAGCCTGTTCCATCTTTAAGGCACTTGGAGCCCAATTAAATAAAGAATACATGAAATGCACAATCCCATTTTGTAATCTTCTCTTTAAAGAACAAACAAACAGGTCCAGTGAACGCTGAGCAAAGAGCAAGGGGTTTTTAATCCTTCCGTTCACCTCCATATTACGTATAATTCCAAAATAATTTGGGGCCCAGGGTGACTATTATTTATTTGTTTGTTTGAAACCTATGTACAGCAAGACCCCCTTACCTGCGGGATCAGTATCCCCTAATTCACTTATCTGCGGTCTGAAAAAATTAAAATGAAAAAATCCTAGAAATGCCGATTTCGAAAAATGGAGTTACCTGACGCTGGCCACTAGACAGAGCTAAAGACTATGCTAAGTACATAGCCTTGGCTAGTGAAATATATTTCTGTGACGTCCTGACCAGAACAGGCCCCTCAAGGGAGCCAGAGACCACGCTGTGTATCACATTCGTGATTTAAAATCGTGTTCGCTAGAATCCATGGTTTTCGGCATCCGCAGGCAGAGCTTGGAAGCATTTCCCACAAATACAGTGGTAAGACGAATCCGCATGACGATGAGTTTTTGTGTTCGCCATTGCACTTCGCAAAATAGTGTTTCCTATGGGCGATTTTCGCTATACGATATTTTGGTCCGTGCTTCACAAGACTTTTTTGGGGGGGACCGATGCTTCGCAAGACGACGATTTAAACAGCTAATCAGCGCTTTGCAAAATGGGTGTTTTCAGGACCGATGCTTTGCAAGACAGCGATTTAAACAGCTGATCAGCGCATGGCAAAATGGCTTCCATATGGGTGATTTTCACAAAACGACGACTATCTTCCCCACTGGAATACATTAAACGGATTTCAATGCATTCCAATGGGGAAACGCTTTTCTCAAGATGATGTTTTCGCTAAACAGCTATTTCAATGGAACAGATTAACATTGTCTTGCAGGGCACCACTGTACAGGGTTTTTATTGTACTCTGTGTTGAGTTGGAAAGGCTTTCTGGGCAAGTGGCAGATGAATTAAGACAAGACAATCCTCACCCTCGGCCTTTTCAGCTAGAAAATCACGGCATATAAAGAAAGGGTGATGAAGGAAAACATGCCCATTTTGCTTGAAGAGAGAAGTATTAGCTGGATCCAAGGGTGGGAGTGGAAGACAATTCCCGGGAGCTTTTTCCAACAGCACTTTCCCCTGTTTTCCCCCCTAGAACTGCGCTCATACGCCCAGACCTTAGTGGAGTTCCTGCGCCAGGCAGAGGAGTTTTTCCGCACCCAGATTGACTTCTCGTTCTTCACGCGTTCGCTTCCCCAGTTCATGGAACAAGTTTACAGGCATCTTTTCCCTGCCCGAGCACACCAGGATTCCCCAGGTATTGACTGACACATACCCAGTTGAACATCCCAAGGGGAAGACAGAGTTAAAAAGGAAAAAGGGAGGTTGTGGGCCCAGCTTTCTTGAGGCTCACGTCCCAGTGAATCAAAGCTGGCTGAAATCTCCGCCTTGCCTTCCTGTGGGTGCTCAGCCGAGGAAAAGTAGCTTTGGAGTCAACTTTGAGAAAGTAACTTCAGAGTAACTTGGGAAAAGTAACTCTGGAAAAGTAACTTTGAAGTAACTGAAACGATGGCTTGCAGTTTGCTTTTGTCTTGACAATTCAGTCCAAGTTAGTGCAAAACTGGTCCAGGGATTCGTTCTTGGTGACATTATGGGGTGCAGCCAAGCACCACAGCTGTTTTTGCTTCTAACTGTGGGTTCGTTTTTTAAATAAATATCCTGGCCATACCTAGGAGAGGTGCATTGGATGTATATGCCATGGGGATGGTACTAGAGTGACCCGATTACTCTCAAAATATTACATCGTCTGCAGAGCCACCAGAAATGTCTGAGGTCTGTCTCTCCCCTTTAATCCCTCTCTCTCCTTACCTGGAAACACGGCATTTGCTAAATGCCCATCCTTTCTGCTCCAGTTCCAAGCAAAGAGGCCCCGTCGGGAGAAGAGATGGCAGGCCTGCAAGGGTGTTTCCCCACACTACATTCTGATAGATGCAAGGGATCTATCAATGGCCCCATTTCTCTTCATACCCTGAGGCCAAAAATAGACATTAGAGATAGCCTGTGGCTGGAAGAGGGAAATCCTTAACTAATATAAATGTCTGAGTGCCACAGTAATTTTTTTTTTAAATTATCATTTCTGGGATGATGCAGGTACAGTTGCTCTGTTTGGTGATGGGTCTTTGGGATTTAAGCACAAGATTCCTCTCACAAATGCAAAAACAATTCCAATCACCTCTCTGCAACATTTAGGATTTTTTTTTAAAATCTAATTCCTGCTTGTGGTTTCAACGTCGCCTTCCCCAGACTCGCCTATGTTCTAATACAGTGGTTCTGTGCTAGAGATGGGTGTGAACCACCAGTTTGGGGGATGGTACCAGAGCTGTAGTTCACGAACTTTTGGGGACCTAAAGATGGGGAACCACTTTTCTAATGCAAAGATATGGACTTTTGGCCTTCTGGATGTTTAGGGCTTCAAGGCTCCGAAGCCCCAGGCAAGGGTCACCAACTGTGGGATTTGAAGCCCCAAACTCGGAGTGAACCACAGGTCCTCCAGGCCAATGCAAAAGGTTTGTGGGTCCACCCGGTTCCTGCCTAGGCCTTCTGGCTCCCGTTCCTAGCCATGTCACACCTCCTGCACCGATGGAGAAGAGAAGAAGGCCTTGTTCCTCAAACTGACGCCTGTGTTACCCCAAAGAGCAGGTTGCAGCCGCAGGACCAGCCGTTGCCACACGAGGAGGAGGAAGAGGGGAAGAAGGAGAAGGGGAAGGAGAGAGGCTGCAGCCACGTGCCCGGGAAATGCAGAAACGAGAGGCTGGAGCGACCCACAGGAGGTAAAACTATCCCTATGCGTTTCTCAGGCTGACAGTCCTAGTGGGATGGAACTTATTGGGAATGTGGTGGTTGGGAGGGAAGAACCTACCCACCCACCCACACACACACACAAAAATAGAGGCTCCTGGGAGGATCTCACAAAGGTGTGGGTAGGGGCACTCTGTGGGTAGATTGGCTCACCTCATTCATTCATTCGTCCACCCACCCATCCATCCATCCATTTGTTCATTCATTCATTCGTCTGTCCACCCACCCACACCAATCCATCCATCCATCCATCCATTCATTCATTCATTTGTTCATTCATTCATTTGTCCATCCATCCACCCACCCACCCACCCACCCACCCACATCCATCCATCCATCCATCCATCCATCCATCCATCCATCCATCCATCCATCCATTCATTTGTTCATTCATTCATTCGTCCATCCATCCATTCAATCATTCATTCATCCGTCCGTCCGTCCATCCGTCCATCCACTCACCCACACACCCATCCACCCACCCATCCATCCATCCATTCATTTGTTCAATCATTCATTCGTCCACCCCCATTCATTTGTTCAATCATTCATTCTTCCACCCGCCTGCCCGTCTGTCCATCCATCCATCCATTCGATTTCCATACCACCTCATTAGTGCAAGGCACTATTCTTGGCAGTTCTCAAAACAAACAAAATTGAACAGAGCAGAACAGTAATAACAGTAAATCAAATAACAAGAGTAATTTTAAAAAAACAAATCACATAAGTTAAAACATCTTAACGCCACAAAACTCAGAGAGTGCAAACTTTCCCCATCATAGGGCAGGCAGGATAAAAAGCAAATTCAAACCCAGTGGCTGTCCAAAGCCTCAATAAAGAGTGGTGTCTTAATTTAATTTAATTTAATTTATTTATTACATTTCTACCCCGCCCATTTGGACTACGTCTACTCTGGGCAGCTTACAATAAAAATAGTCAAACCAAAATAGTAAAATTAAAACAACAATTTAAAACAGCAATAATGGTATCATTCAAGATGGAAAACAAAAATCAAGTGGGCCCCCTCTTGATG